AAGTAAAAGAAAGAATGGTAAACGAAATTCCATTGATTTAGGTACCGCCTAATTAAGCCAGAAAATAGCCGCATCGTCATTTGTACATACGCAGCGACTACGTTCTTTTATCGTAACCCCGTACACGGACCACTTCGAAGCCAATTCCGAGCCACGAGTGTTAATATTTTTATCACATTTTTTCATTTCGCTCGTGCTGGAATCAGTTATAATGATTCAAGAATTTATTAGAAAAGCTGGAAAGTGGCTGGGAACTGACACGTGTTCGCGGCCTATATAACTGATTATAGTTGCAGAGAAAAAATGAATGCAGGAGGTGACACAGTACATTATTCATGCTTTCCATTATGATGTTTTATTATTTTTTCATCTACCTGAAATGTGTCAACCGTATCTCAGACGATTTCAAACGGAGATATTGAATTGGCTCCTGCAAACTATAGAATCGGCAGGATTTAGTAACGGAAAGCATGAATAAAGCATAGCGTCGTGGTGTAGTTGGACGATGGGGTAGATATTTCGTTCATACACATTTTGCATATTCTTCAACATGGACGTGTTCCAGAAGATGTATAGTACTTATTACAATGTGATGTGTTTTACTGGACTGTGGCCCGACGACTACACTCTAATAACGAAAGTTCGGAGAGTCGGTTTCTGTTTGCTCACTCTTTGCTGTATCGGCGCTCAGGTGAGCAAGGCGCGAGTTTCATCGGAATATTTTTTAAATCGTCGAAGTACCAGCACGTCTCTAAAGGAGACGATTGATAATGATAAAAAAAATGGAAAGTGACTATGCGACGTACCTGAAGTTTTCGTAGTTTTCATCGAATCTATCTGATTCTTCGACTATACATACACATGAGAATTGAACGAAAATATGGTATAAATTTTCAAGAAAAAAGTTTTAAGAAAACTGTTATGTTAAATGTCCTAAGTTCTCAAGAAAATCCATTCTCGTAAAATCTTTTGTAAAACGATTCTGTTCGAAACGTTCCCGAAACGATATGAAACCGTTCGAATCGAACGCAATCTCGAAATAGATTCGATACTGTTAAAATCAGATGTACAATTTTCAGGTATCGACGCTAAGAATGGTTGAAATTACATTCTACAATTTACTTCAGACGTTATCGTTCACCTTTCCCATGTTGCTATTCTTTTTACGATACGTTGGATTCGTCATCTCTCTTCCGTCAGTAAGTTCGACAAACGTGCCACTACTGTTTCCGTTTCCAAGAACGTGTGCAAAATCATTCACCTTGTTATCGTATCCCTTAATCGACATTCTTCACGTGGTTTCAGGTGAAACATTTCTTGGAAAATTTTGGACGCGATTACGATGCGGTCAAAGATCCTATCGAAGCGGATTTGTTTATGAAACAAGCAATAGAAGCGAGACGCGTGGTCATGGTATTGCTAGGTAAAGATGTCCAACCGTGTGGTCTCCGATTAAGCTAAACATTCTTGTGAAATGTATACAAGTGAACATGCGCATTGAAAATAATTATTCTATAATTGAATGCACGATCAAGCATATTTTACGAGAGGAACATGTACATATTGAAAAATTAATCCTTGTACAGGGGAGACTGCGACAGCCCGATACACAGACAGGTTTGGTACATTTTCGTATTTTCTACCTAATAAACAGAAGTGAACTGTGCACCCGTATATACAGGGAGTCCCACAAATGTCTCGCAAGCCGAGAAGTCGCGGAACGCATTTTGCCAAGGAAAAAGTTACCTCCGCCGAATTCGAAACCCCATTTCCGGATTGCGAGACACTTTTCGGACACCCTGTAGAATACAGATGAGTATGAACCTAATTTGATAGAAGCGAGCATAGCGAGAGTTCTATGAAAATGGAAGCAACAGTTACAGTGAAGTCTCCCTCGCGGCTCCTTTTTATAGAAACTCCGGGCAGTCGGCAAAAAGAGGCAGCGTCCAGGATGCTGGTGTACGTTAATGTGAATACAGTAAATTCTCTCCAATTGTTCTCTAGCGTGTAAACAAAAATGGACAAGAGGAACTTGGGAGGAGGAGATACGATTATTTGAGTCTTGCGCCTTTTCCCAAATTGTCCATTTTTCTGCAGAATCTGCGCGCGAATTAGGGAGAATTTACTGTACATAATGCTAGAATAGAAACGATGATCTAACTTTTTTATTTCCTAATTTCGTCTGTTGTGTAGACATTATGTAGACATACATGATCTGTTATCTCCAAAATGTATCGTCTGTCCACCACAGTCTCCCCTAATTCGTCAACCTATGGTTGACTCCCAAAGGAGCAACTTATTCGATGAAACATTAGAATTATAGAATTATCGTTATTCCGATGAACCGTTAGAAATGTTGCAGAAAAGAACGGTACAGGCTTGCCAATATTCCGTTCATCATCCGTCTTGCTGTAGAAAGAAGTGCTTTCTGCACTACAGCAACAGCTTGAAATAGTTCTTTTTCATGGATAACGCGCACATCGGATACACATATCGTATCGCAATATATTTCAATTGATGGACGAATTTAACACGTTGAATGCCACGGGAGTCACCGGTGACCGGCACTTAACTTGGCGATGACGCCATGGGGGCCACCGGTGACCGGCGCGCCTAAATTGATAGAAATATATATAATTACCCCTTTTAGTGCCCGAAGCCGATATATCGGCTCTTGCTGCACTGACGAGAAGTGCCAGAGCCGATATATCGGCCCGCGCCTTACAGCGCTTTATAATAACAAAATTTTACACATTTACAATATATAAATATAAATATTTATGTTACTATAATGAAGTATTATGCAAAATTATATCACAAATATGTTTATGACAACATAATTTTGTTTCAGCAATGTTATATTACCTATAACAATTACATATTTCGGAAGAGATAATCTGTCCGGCGCTTACCATGTACCTTCGAGTTATTTTTTATGTTTGTTATGTAATATCATTTATCTTGTTACAAAATATATCAGAAATGCAAAGTATATACTTTGTAATAAATGATCTACATAAAATTATGATGAAAAGATGACTTTTTGTAGGTGCAAATACGTTTTGTAAGAGAGAACTGGACTTTTACTTTCTTTACGATCTTTTATACCTTTGTTATTTATATAATTTTCAATGAATATANTAAAATTATGATGAAAAGATGACTTTTTGTAGGTGCAAATACGTTTTGTAAGAGAGAACTGGACTTTTACTTTCTTTACGATCTTTTATACCTTTGTTATTTATATAATTTTCAATGAATATAAAAAATCTAGTGTCATCGTTTTGTTCTCTATTTCGTCCTTAATTTACTGCTTTTTGAATCATGTAAATATTGTTTCTTGTTTGGTTTTTACGAGCATTTTCGGCCGGTTATTCTCGCATAGGCACCTCTTTTTCGCATGACACTAAAAGGGTTAAAACAAATGTCAATATCTAAAATTTGGTATTATTACCATCGTCGATTCAAACGGTGACCCCTGTCGCAATTAACATGTCAAACATGGTTATACACTGTAACTTATCTATTGCAGATAATATTTCAAAATTATATGTATCACATAAAAGAAAATTCATCGTGGCGCCACGGAGAATTTCTGTAAAACAGGCGTGGCATTCAACGTGTTAATAGTTTCGAACTGAGAAAAATTTGGAGCGGCTTATTGGATACGCGTTTTCCTGCGTGAAACGGCTCCAATGGAATCGTTCTATCCCCATTGTTCTTACTTATAGTCATATCATCTGGAGGAATGATGCTCTCGATTTTTCTATTACTGATCCCCACGATAATGCAATCGAAACTTCAAACTCGTTATTTAAATATGGTGGGATTTTTTTATACTGAGATTACCCAGGATTCTAATGTGGTCACTCTTCAACTCGTAATTGTAATCTGCCTCGGACTATTATCAATAACCTGTACAGAATCATCGCTCGCCGTCTTTGTCGCTTACTTGTGCGGATTATTGGA